GCCCCCGCCCCCCGGGGGGGGGGGGGGGGAATGACCAGCCCATTTATCCCACCCGACACCCAGTCCCCTTGTGCGTGTAATTTATGGTGTAATTTGGGCTGCATCCAACTTAATAAAGGGCCACTGCAAATTAGCGAACAGGTTTAAATGAACAGAAGCAATTAGCGCTCAGAGGAGCCCATCAAGGAAGCCGGGCCAGTCTCCGTGCGGAGCTGAAAGCGCCGGCCGGCAGCCGTGATGGCGGGCGCGCGGCGGTGATGGGAAGGTGGCGGTTAATGGGAAGGGAGAGGAAACCCTAAATCACGCTGCGTGACAAGGGCCAGCGCGGGCAGCTGACAAATGAAAAGGAGCAGCATTATTCCCTTAAATAACCCAGCCGTTAACGAGGAGACAGCTCGCCCCTCTCCGCCGGCCGCAGCGCCCAGCCATGCGCGGGGGAGGCATCGGGGGGCCTTTATTAATTATTAAATAACGACTCCCGCCGTGCCGTGATAGATAACGCTCCATCTGGGCCGGGGATTCAGGCGACGGAGGCTAATCTCGAACAAAGCTGCTCTCGTCTTCCCCCAGCCCTGGAACGGGGGCCGTCCACGAAGCCTTGGGGGTCCGGTGAGGCCGTGGACGTGCCCGGGCGAGCTCAGACCACCCCCTACTCCCTGCAAAGCCGAAGCAGCTCCTCTTTAGTAGGGGATGGGGGCAAATGTCGTGGGATGCACTGCTGTTGCAAGTGCCCCGTGCTGGTCCTCTCCCGTGCCATCTCGACCCGTCCTGTCCGTGCATCACGGGTCCAGCCAGGGCTGAGCCGTCCTCCTCCAAAAGCCCCCGGGCTCTCCTGCTGCCGGGTCCTGGTGCCTTCTAGGTGCCCGCAGAGGTGAGGGAGACGTCACACAGGGCCGGGAGCTGGGCAGTGGAAAGTCACCCAAAGCAACATGTGGCCCATGGGCTGAATCCTGCCCGTGCAGCCAGTGGATCCGGCCCGCGGAGTCGCCTCTGCCCATGCCCTGGCTGGCACCACCCGCCAGGCTGGCCCTGCATGGCTCCGGGCGGGGTGCAGGGACCTAAAGGGTGTCATGGGGATCAAGGGAAGTTGCGGATGGGTGGCAGGAAGAATCTCCCTCCAGGGCTCATCTCCCGGGTCTTTGGGGCTTTGGGATCGGTGGCCGCACGCAACACCGGGAAGCTCCCAGGGAGCCAGACCTGCCCCTTGTCTCCCACCTTCCTGTGTCCCAAGAAAGGGATGCTCTGCTTGGAGCGAGGCTGCCGGTCGGGGCAGAGCAAGGGCATGCGTCACAACCAGTTCCCCCAAGGAGCAGGGACTGGGTAGGACTGGGCGGCCGCGCCGGGTGGGCATGCGCAGGACGGCTCAGAGCCGGCCGTAGGGCCAAGATCCCCCTTGAGCGAATAACCCAGAGCCCCCCGCTAGGCTCCGGCCCCCGGGAGCAGGGGGCTGCGTCTTCCCTCCCCGCGGCTCCCCCAGCCCCTCGCCGGCTCTGGCTGGGCTCCGGAGGGAGGTGGGGATGGAGAAGGCAGATGCAAATTTCATTTCTGAGCCACTGGCGCCGTTTCAAGAGCCGGCAGCCTCGGAGCCCTTCTCGGCGTTACATATGTAACAGCCTCATTGAACTTGACATGTCAAATTCAGGCCATTTGTGCAAAATCTCCCTTTAATAATACCGTTTCATTTCGCTCAAATGAGACTTGAATGCATGTAAAATGGAAAAGGATATTTAAGCTCTAACATTAGGCAGATGTCTTGCCAGAGGCCGATTGAATATATGAGATTTTGAAGTGCTTAACACGTTTTCGGTGCTCTCTCTTAGAATATGTCACCTGGCTTCCCCCCCCTTCCCCTCCCTTTTTTCCTTCCTTTTTTTTTTTATCCCCCTCTTTAAGTGAAGGGTATAAATTGAAACCAAACAAAACTACAAGCCTCAGCTGGAAGGGGATTAACTCTCTCGGCCCCAAACCCCTCAAGGCCATCTTCCGTAGAGAAACGAGCTCCTGACGGAGCCGACATGCGAGGCAGCACCAGGCGGTTGCACTGGACCGGGATATGGGGAGACAACCGAGTCTCACGTGCCCTTTGCATGCCCTTGTCATGGTAGAGGTGTACAGCCCCTTGCACTGTGGTGCACCATCTCGGCACGACGCCGGCAGGACGAATGAATGTAGTCGGAGGAATGACGTGTAGGCTGAGCAGGGGTTTTTGATAATAGACTCCCAATCCTTGAGGGACAGAGAGGATGGAGACGGGCTTTTCTCTGTGGCTGCAGGGGACAGGACTAGGAGCAACGGTCTCCAGATGCAGCTGGGGAAACTGAGGCTGGAGATGAGGGACCGACTCTGAAGGGGTCAAGCACTGAAACAGGCTGCCCAGGGAGGGGGTGGACTCGCTATCCCTGGAGGTTTCCAAATGCAGCTTGGACAGACTCACGGCTGGGATGGGTTGGTCATTGGTGACCCTGCCTTGAGCATCGAATTGCATGAGATGTGACCTCGTGAGGTCCCTTGCAGCCCTGCTTCCCTACGATCCCGTGCCAGCCCTGTGTGCCTCTCCATGCCCATGCCCTGCTCAGTCCATGCAGGCTGGATCCCTTAGCTACCCAGGAGACTGGGTGCTGCCTGGGGCGTGGGGAAGAAGGAGCATCCCTCCGCTGAGGGCATCCGGGCGCAGGGATTGCAAGCAGCCCCCAAGACCGGCCAGCGCTGTTCTTCTTCCCTAAGTAAAGTCAGTGCAGGTGCAAAGCAGTTTAGGCTGGATCTCAAGGAAAACTCCTGCACTGTTGGAGCAGGGAGGCCATGGGAGAGACGCCAGGGAAGTGGGGATGCTCTACATGATGGTTTGTCTGGACTGGTTTGCACAGGGCTGATCCTGCCTCAGGCAGGGCTTGGACTGGATGTAACCCCGCAGCTCCTGCCAGCCCCACGGCTTGGGGACATCTGTTTCTGATTCTAGGTGCCGCCCGTCGCATTACCTCCAGCCCAGGTGCATGCATGCCTTCACAAGCCCCTCTTTTTAGGCACCTGGCCTTTTGCCCTCCTTGCACCTTCTGCTAAAGGGGATGTGTCCAGTGGACCATACTTCCACCCACAACCTGGGCTCTGGTGTCTCAGCATCCCTTTGCTGTCAGCCAGGAGCCGTGAAGTGCACGGGCAAAGCATGCGTGTCCTGCCCCGATCCCGGCAGGACCAGGTGGAAGATAACAGCCTTCTACTGCAGGTCGTTGTTCGGTGGCCGAGGGCCGCCCGTTCGGGTCGACGTGCTGGCGTCTCCGCGTTGCTCTGCTGCTCGGAAGTCGTAGGAGAGGGCAGTGAGCGAGTGTCGCCGAGCTCCCGGACCTCGCGGCGCTGGGCTGGGCCCGGGACACCCGCAGTCTGACTCGTAATTACATGAAGTCTGAAGGGGGCTTGGGGCATCCACCCACCCATCCCGCCACCCCCACCTACCTACC